GTTCAAGTGTGGCTTGGTTATCAGCTAGACCCTACAGACTGGGGTTGGAAGTTGGTCAACAATATATTAGAGCCAGTTCAAACTTTACTTCCACCTGCGCCGGAAAAACTGCTGAATACTATTTTTTCCAACTGCAAAAAGGGATGCAGTGCTAAATGTGGTTGCAAAAAAGTCGGACTGTCTTGTTCTTTGGCCTGCACAAATTGTCAAGGCCGGTCGTGCTCTAATATTGAATCACAAACAATGGAGGATACGTTTGACTCCGACGAAGTATCATGCGATACATCGCTATTGACGCAATTTACTTGCATCCAAAATAAAGATGAAGAAGTAGTAGGAGAAGAAGAACAAGAAGAAGATCAAGAAGAAGAACAAGAATTTGAAACTTACGAATAAACTTCAACCCTTTTTTTCATTTACATCGCTTTTATTTATCCCAATCTCTAAAAAATTCCGTTATTTTGCAATAGTTTTACATTAAACATGATCACAACTGACCCGTGGCCTACTGGGGAAATAACGTTAACAAAAACGCGCTAAGTACACTACCTCATAGGTGGCGTGGAAACGTGTGCATTTATTATGACGATAACAACTTTTATAACTTTTAGAATCGTTATATCTCAGAAACGATGGCTTGTAAGAAAAAAGTATTAATACTTTTTTATAGATAATTTTATGATCTACAATTTTTGTCTGAGGTACTTTTATGATAAAACTTACCGTTTTGCTGAAAATCGCGAAATACTCATTTTTTTGACCTTTGACCTTGAATTAAATTTTTTCCTTACAGGGGAATGATGGGGAACTTCTAGACATTGTTTGTAATTATGTTTTGAACAACTTCACAAAAATTCAGCTTGTTGGGACTTTATGTAACTTCACTCTCATTTTTTAGTCTAAATTGACCGGACTAAATCCCACTGTACCCACATACTAAATCATTGGAAGTAATTAAGTTAGTGAACAGTGAACGTAATGAATCACATTCACACACTTAAAAATGAAAACGTGTAATGGTATTACAAAACATGATTTTAACGTGTACATGTTACTTCATTCAACCCGAAAATACTAAACAGAGTCATTTGTCTCTGTAATAATCCACAATCAATAACTAATAATCTGTTCCGCGTATGTGGGCGGTACCTGACATGCACCCATTTGTTTTACTTAAACGTTAATGCTCTTATGCATCGGTGGCGCAGGCGCATCCACTCACGTTTGAACTTCGAGTGATTGTTTAACGGTGATCCTTTCCGGGATTTTTATCTGAGTTTCGTATGTGGGTGGCTGGATAGCTGGGTGGTGTATAAATAAATTTGACCTGAGTTGTCTCGTAAGGTTAAGCATTAGCGATGTCTGTTTAAATTCCACGAGGATTTAGTTCTATATAAGTTTAAATAGTGTGCGTTACCCAGGCAAAATGTTTTGCTTTAGAGAGATGAGACTTGAACAAATAATTAGTGTATCATGAGGAGCAATTTGTTTACTAATAGCAAAATTTGTTTGAATTGTAGTTTTTAAGTTATTTGAGAAAAACAAATTTTGCTGGAGTAACGTTTGAAACGTTACCCAGGCAAAATAGTCTTTCAAAAATTAGTTTCAGCACGGAACCAAATACATGAATAGATAGCTTTTGTTGCGTAGTAAATGTTTATAAATAGCAAAATTTGTGTGTGGTATAGTTCTTTAGTTATTTAAGATTTTGCTGCGGTAACGTTTTGGGATTTCCCAGATCTCGAAAACGGCTCAACGCAGAAGTTTGAAAAAAATACCAATAAAAGACCTCAATTTGTTTAAATTTGTTTAATCATTAGTTTTTGATTTGGTTGACGTAAACCAATGTAATTAAATGGTTTCAAAAATCAGAAGAAACGGGTTTGCAAGTAAACCAATACACTTATAACCAAATAAACAGCTGTAAAAAATACCCGTGGTTCGACGCTTGTTTACATCAGAAATATTAGATTTCATACTTTACACATTAAGAAGATAAAAACAAATTTGATTTATTTTAGACTGGTCGTACTTTAGCGATCGAATACGCAGTTCCCATAACATTAAGAAACATGGCATACTTTAAACAAATTAAAATGATTCATGAAAATTCCTTCCTGTTAATTTCAGCCTTGAATTACGGCTCTAATGAAAGTTATCTCAAAAACAAGAATATGTCAGCAATTCTCTAATAAGCCGACCAAATTGAAAAGGTCACGTAAAAGCGACTGCACCGTACGTACGGGTAATCTTCGCAAATTAGCAGCTTGGTAACCGATGTTTTGTACAGTTAAGCAGAAAAACGTTATTCGTGAAGCCGATTTTTTAATATTTTTTAAGTGCAGTACCATATTACACAATTTTTACTAGTTAATGCCAATTAAAATGCCATACTGTGAGTCGAGGTGAAATGGAGTCCACCTATCAACCTACGTTATTAGTACCTCCTAAGGAAAATTGTACAAACTATTAATGTATCCAAATATTAAAATTAAGTAAGTAGGTTATAACTTATCTGTGATTTTTCTCTAAAAATGTTGATGCTAAGGCAAAGCAATACATATAATTTGTATGAGACTGATTTTTTAAATAAAAATAATGAATCTTAACCATTTTATTATTTTAACTAACCTGACCAGAAAACTTTTGTATTCAACTGTACTAACAAAACATCTATATTATCCTGTTCATTTCAGATGGTTGCGCTTATGTATGGTGCGGTCGCTTTTATGTGACCTTTTCAATTTGGTCGGCTCATTAGAGAATTGCTGACATAATCTTGTTTTTGAGATAACTTTCATTAGAGCCGTAATTCAAAGCTGCAATTAACAGGAAGGAATTTTCAGGAATCATTTTAATTTGTTTAAAGTATGCCATGTTTCTTAATGTTATGGGAACTGCGTATTTGATCGCTAAAGTACGACCAGTCTAAAATAAATCAAATTTGTTTTTATCTTCTTAACGTGTAAAGTATGAAATCTAAAATGTCTGCTGTAAACAAGCGTCGAACCACGGGTATTTTTTACAGCTGTTTATTTGGTTATAAGTGTATTGGTTTACTTGCAAACCCGTTTCTTCTGATTTTTGAAACCATTTAATTACATTGGTTTACGTCAACCAAATCAAAAACTAATGATTAAACAAATTTAAACAAATTGAGGTCTTTTATTGGTATTTTTTTCAAACTTCTGCGTTGAGCCGTTTTCGAGATCTGGGAAATCCCAAAACGTTACCGCAGCAAAATCTTAAATAACTAAAGAACTATACCACACACAAATTTTGCTATTTATAAACATTTACTACGCAACAAAAGCTATCTATTCATGTATTTGGTTCCGTGCTGAAACTAATTTTTGAAAGACTATTTTGCCTGGGTAACGTTTCAAACGTTACTCCAGCAAAATTTGTTTTTCTCAAATAACTTAAAAACTACAATTCAAACAAATTTTGCTATTAGTAAACAAATTGCTCCTCATGATACACTAATTATTTGTTTAAGTCTCATCTCTCTAAAGCAAAACATTTTGCCTGGGTAACGCACACGTTTAAATAGTTCTAAATAACATAGATTATAATGCTACTAGGTACTTTTAGAGGAACTAAAGCTATGAAATAATTTATCAATTTACCTACCTACCCATAGCCATACCCATAAATTGGTTTGGTTGGCTGGTTGCAAGCGAGTGTATGAGTTAAAAATAAGCAGTGCAAAAAACTATTGATTTATTTTGCCGATTTAAATACCTATATTTTACAAATCTATCCAAAACCTGACCTGTTATTCGATAATTTCTAATCGACAACGTCATTAATCATATTTACTCAATAATTAAAACTAATTTATTTATTAGACGGCTGCTCTCACCAGACTCATCTTAAGCCACATTAGTGCAATTAAGTTTAAATGTCATATGCATCAGATTTCATAACAAATAACGGTAAAGTAGGAACTACAGTAGGTTGAAATAACTGGGTTAGTGCCAGAATTTCGTCACTTGATATATTTTAATATACACGGTAATTAATAAACGTCAAGCACACACAGATAATGAAGCTACACAGTGGGATGAGGTGTATATGCACGACCGTGCCGCTTTAGCGTAAAATTGTAGGTACTTAAGTGCTCAAAGTTCGCGCTTTTAGTCTTAACTATTTATGTACCTCTAATAAGTCCCATGTAATAGGGGGTGAGCCTATTGTCATATACCGGACATAATTCCAGACTCTATGCTACTACTGAGAATTTTCAAATAACCCAGTAATACTTTGCCCGTCCCGGGCATCGAACCTGAGACCCTTTGCCCGGCAGTCGCACTTGCGACCACTCAGCCAACGCGGCAGTCAGATTTCAAAAATTCAGATTCTATCTAATTTGGTCTCATTGCAAAACGAAATTTCGTTTCAAGTTTAATAAGGCAAGTTTGCAAAAATACAGATTTACTGGCAAGTTATCTGTCAATATTTATTTGCAGACCTCACACGGTCACGAACCGCTTATTTCGAAGCCACACAGTCAACCGATCAGTCGATAGTACGATTACGAAGACTGATAATCCTAAATGTTGTCTCACAGATAGTGGCTCTGTCAAAACGCTACTCGTTTACTCTTAATATCGCAATAACTATATTACGTAGTGGTAGCTGTAGTCTGTATTATTTTGTAACACTTTAACTTCTAACTGTCTACATTAATTATGGCGATAGCATTCGTTGAAATGTTATACATACTTATGTCACCAAATAGCATAAAATATTTTTATCACACGCCTTATTGATGTATGGCTTACTTAATAGGTGAAGGCGAACGACGAACCTAATAGCTAGAGTGCTGATATTAGAACATTTATTTTGTACTTGTATTCGTAATAGACGCAAAAAAAATTCGCAATCGTCTTTATAAAATCAATTTCGTTTGATAATTATAATAACAATATGAGGGTAAGGATCATGTAGATATATAAAAAAATAAAACAAAAAATGAAACAAAATCTTGATACACATAAATACATCAATATATTTCATATAATTATTGTAAATACAAATATGTATTATCTGACGATTCAATGAATATTAATACAAAAGTCCCACATATCTGGTTTCACAGTCCACGTCTTAAAAAACTTATCCTTAATGTCTACCCATTTTTCATAATAAATAATTGATTTTCTCTTCATTTTATTATATGGAATCGTTTCAAGTTTGTCTTGGCTACATATCCTTTGTTTTAGATCTTCATTAGTATTGAGTATGTGTAGGAATTTCTTGTACAGATTATATTTACTGATACATAAACTGCATGCTGGTGACGTTGCTTTCTTCACTGTCACACCCAATTTTCTTCCTTGCACTGCTACTTCTGGTCGTCTGAAACATTTAATGTAAGTTATTATATCACTTTTTCTTTTATTTAAAAGATAAAATAGAAACTTCTGCCATAGATTTCATAGAATAGTTACAATGTTTGAAATTGCTAATCATGGTGGATTGGCTATTTTTAAGTTTTTAAACAATTATGGCAATTATTGCTCATCACTACTTTATGTGAGAAGAGACCAGCAATAAAACAGTTACTGATAGACATACTCTTATGATAACTTATTAACTTAAAGTTTGTAATAAGTGACATATGAATGAGCAACAACTCAACAAAAAGATATGAACTTCTTTTCAAAATTCTTCAGGCAAATGACTAAAATTAATGGAGAAATTTACTTACTGGTTAAAAGATTTTGTCCAAACAATACTCCCGGGGGCCGGTTTAATATTAACATCAGAGCTTACATTTGTAAAGACAGAACTGCTTTGATAAAATTCAGGAACCACGTCTAATGTAAGTGGCGACTCTGACCTACTTAGGAGAGCTCTGTGTAGGGATTGACTTGAGAATGGTACTCCACCACCAAATATAAAGTGCTTTATGTATATTGGTTCGCAAAGCATACATAGTAGGCTCCCCTGAACACCAAGGTGTATCCACTTAGCTATTTTGTCACTGCACGAGACAGACAATGTTCTGTCTCCTCTCCCCGGTTTAGTTCTCACTTGACCTAAGATGAGCTGGATATTTGTTCCTGGTTCCTTCAAGTCTTGTTCACATTGAGGTAAACATTTTGCACCTGTTTTATTAAGATAGTCTTCCACTTTCTGCTTTTTTAATTCAATCTCACTAACATCGTCCAGAGCTGCTCGTTTTTGATTGGTCAAGACATCACCATAATGTTCTCCATCATCATTCTGAGATATTATCGACGCGTCTCCACAAGGTAGTTGTGATGAATAGAATATGTACTGTATATTATCCTTGAGTTTTAACTGACTATTTTCTTTGATAAAAATGTTTTGTTTGTCTTTTAAAGCTTTATCAATATTTTCGTACAGGTACAATAAAAAGCCTCGTCGAGCGAATATTTCGGCATGACTATCGTTGAGTATACTACCATTAGGAGTCATTTTCGATGCTCCTACACATTTTGATCCAGTACCCAATGACACTACTTCAATTTTTTCCGTAGCTGTGTTGTATTCTATAAAACATGAAAGTACTGTCCATTCTTTGTCGATGGGTTTCCCATTCTTTGGTAAGCTGTCGTACAAAGTAAAACAATTCTGCACTATTTTCTCAACAACATTTTCTTTGAGGTTATCCATTGTTTACCGGCAACCAATTATAACTGTTCTTCTACACACATTGTTTAATTTAAGTTTCTGAAGACTAAAGTGATATAATGGAACTAAATTTTCTTTTTAATAATACATTTAAAACATTGAAATATAATTAATAATAAGCACAGTACTAAATACTATGTACAGCATCTATGTAAACAAATCGAAACTGATAGTTGACATTGACAAGCTGTGAAGTGTCAACTAATGACAACTTCACTTGACATTTAACTGTGGAAAACGTTTCTAATTACGCAGTACATGGCATCCAGCACTTTAAAGTTATATGTTTTGAAGTAAAAATGGAAACATTGAAGCTCTAATCAATTATGACATATTTTAATTATTTGAAAATTAATGGCGGTCAAAATTAAAATTTTTATTACTTTTATGTTTTTCTTTTAGGTAGGTAACATTCAATAAATTACTAAATATAACTTAACATACAAAACGATAAAAATGAAATAAATGAAAATTGAAAATAACTATTCACACAGAGCATCGAAAAATTCGTCCGCATCGACGTCAATAGGGAAAGTACCCAGAAGGCTGGCAGCATTATCACGTTGTATGGCAATGCAAACTCTGACCGAGACAAAGACCAGCCCTCTGGTCACGAGATGCGTCGACCAGGCGTTTCGCAGGTTTCTGAATAATGTATAGGCACTCGGATCCCACGGAGCCTAGCGTCTCAACCCCAAACGGCTCAAAGATATAATTACAGGCAAGGTTGTTATACTTGCGCCGCTTGAGGCTTTCTGCAGAGGCAGCAGCCGAACCAACACAACCCGCAGTTACTAGAAGCTGAGTTGTTGCAAGGGTACGCAGGTTGCGTCCCACACCAAAGACCTTCCCAGCTTCCAGGGCATAATGGACACACTGTGACGTCTCTTATCATCGTCGTGTGCCAAGACCTTTAGTTCCAAAACAGTTGGCACACCGGTGATGGCAAGACCTCGACGGATAATGTCGTTAATGCTGGCGTGTCGGGCTATCCGGCCCGCGCTTCTGCTTTACGATAGGCCGAGGTGGTTGACCATATCACCGCATTGACAGCAATGCCGAATAACACAGAGAGTACCTAGACGCAAGCAAGCAGCAAGCCAAAAAGTAAGTTATCGGTTAAGTTGAATCAACATTTGGAGAAATGGAACGAATCTACAGCGTTCCATATATTAAAATTCAACAATGTTATCTTTTCTAGCATAAACATGATATTAAAACTTATTTTATGATTTAAAATTAGGTCAATAAATTATGAAATGAACGTGGCATCATCGCAAATCTCACAGAATTGGATTTACCGATCCCAAAATCGACATGATTGTGAAATCTGTGACGATGTCGTGACATCTAGAACATGTCCTAGTCTGTTAAATTCTAGAATACGTCGCTTCCAATCTTCCAACCTGGACGTCATTGGGCGAGGGCTATGTTCAGCACAGTGGCGTAACTATAGGTACCGTTTTGGGTCCGTGGCAAATCATCGAATAGGCCATATTCCAGCGGTTCCAAATAAACAACAGAGAAGTTCGGTTGAAAATCCTCTTAACGGGACCCCTTCCACCTGAGAGCTCTTGGCAATTTGCCACTGATTCAGCAGTGAAATTCTTATCGTAGCTGATATCATGATGATAATGACAATATTTAAATAAACTTACACTTATCAACTTCACTCGTCTCCTGTATGTAACAATGACTAATATTTTAATCATCCTTGGAATTTTAAGATAACATCGACAGCTGCACATCTATATCGGGATAAAGATCGGAACGCTATCGAATACATTCCTTGAATAGTTTTAAGAAATTACATAGATAGTTATGTACAGTCGCACAACAAGTGAGTTTAGGTGGTAAGTATACCTACATAGGTGTTATTTTCTAAGGATTATCAACTTATTTAGCTTGTTGTAAAGTCTAAAATCAGTTAATAATCTACGGAGCCAATCCTTATCCTTATATATGAATAGGTCTCATCAATCACGTAGGTACCTACATAGCGGATTGATGCGGTCGATGTCACTCAGAATTAACGGGATAAGGAATAAGAAAACGGAACAATGATAATAATGATAGGTACTTATAGGTACCAGGAAATATCAAGATATTTGTTCAATTGTTACTTGCACATATGACTTACATCGTGAAATCTATTTCGTTTTCATCTTAAAGTACCTACATATATTTACCTACATATGGGTATAGGGTAGATTATTTACAGCATTTGATCTAGTATCGAAGAAATGTGTAAAATTTAAATTTGATTAGATCTATAGGCGTTTAGACAGGAGGTCCTCTTACTCTTACCATTAGGTAGGTACTTATCTAATATTTAATATGCATACCTTACTTGAAAAATAAATTACATGAACCTACCCACCTACCCACCAAAACGAATACCAAGCTCGATATTTTTAACTGTCCATCATAAAAATAACAGCATTTGATTTTAAGCGATAATATCGTATGGTCTCGAATTAGTAAGGCTAGCTCACCAAATCCTTCTGCCTTCTCTAACAGCGACACAATAGTTATTTCGAATTTTAAATCGTGAGAAATATCTATCCTTGAGCACAAAAAATTGTACGAAACAATATATCGAAGTTTCGTAGCATCGACATTTATCATACGTTTCCAGATACGGATATCAAAGTTCCTGGTGTTCATTATATTGACCATTAGTGGGCGGTGATGAAAGAGGGTAGTTTCTCATTCCACGCCTCATTATAGACCGAGATGAATGACGCGCCCGCGCCTGATCTCGGTACCAATTTGAATATCAAAGCGCTCCCTTCCCGGACTAGATTAAACTGCTATCAAAATATTCCAATAAATGATGACTTTCAATAAACACTCCATTCTTATACGAACGATAAAATCGATATTGTTCCGCAATAAAAAAACACTTTGCATAATATTCATACAGGATGTTTACAGAAAGAAAGGAGGTCATAATTTTTATTGAAAAACTACAATAATTTTGGCCTTTGGAAAGTGAGTAGCATTTTCATGTAAAAGTTGTTGGAAAGATGAATGACATTTTTAATTAACTAAAGAAAGTAATGTGGTATTAAAACAACCTGTATGTGAACAAATTATTCATAAAGTCAGAACGTTTTAATTTTGTTCAGATTGTACAGAGATTCAATATTAACGCGATGACCAGATGTAAATAAAGGAAACACATTATAAGCGAAGGTAAATGATAACATTAAAAACCTGTTCTAATTGACTGAAGCTTCCACAAAACAATTGTGTATCGATTGCGTTTAAAACAAGACATAAAATTAAACCAACGATTACGAATCATTAAGTCGAATAAATATAAAACAATATTATCTGATCCAATCATTCTGTGGGTCATTGTACCTACGGACAGGTAGACAGAGAACTCTTTATTTCATAAATACTGGCATCAGAGACAGTACCTTAACACCTGTATACTTCATTTTAAAAATAACAGTCACTTTGAGATGATTGGCGGCGCAAATGGGCGTCGGAATTGTTGTGAATTAAAAGTTCCCAGCGGTTATGCGCATGCGCACCACATCATCTTATTACCGGGTACTCAAACACAGCTCTTGGTCAAATTATGCAAGTCCAGCTTCCTGTTTTTGTTCGCAAGCTGCGGTTGTACTGAGAACACAATGTAAACGCTCATGCTTAATATTATTTTAGGAATATAACTAGAAAATACTCAGAATACAACAGTTTTAATTTTGACTAAACTAATTCTACCTACTTGCTAACTTACTACTAGCTACTTGTATATGAGACATAATGGAAAATATATTGTCTCGCGTTAATGTCATACATACAAAAGTATACTTATTCATAGTACCTAGTTTTTTCGGTAATTCGATTATTTTCCCCCCTTAAAATAAAAAAAAATCATAGTAGTTTAAGCACAAACCGCTAGGATTTTTGGTAAAGGATATTATATCTTGAAAACGCTAACCAAGCAATTATAACCCTTACCTAGCTATGTACCTATATTGAATAGCTTTTCGGTGGAGTACTAGATTTACTTTTTGGCTTTTGAAGGGTTTACAATGAGCCAGTTCTCTATTCTCTAAAAAAAAACACAAGATAACTGTATTATTATTTTTTATTGTTTCCTCGTATTTCGCGGTCTCGTCCGTCTATATTTACGCCAACCAGGAATAATTTAATGCAACATAATATCTGCATTCTGCATTTAATTATTCTCTCAAAAATAGGTCAGGTGTTAAAATGAAAATGGCCGCGAGCTGAACAGTGAAAGGAAAGGAAACAAAGGCAGGCTCTGAAGTGATCATTTCCTAGAGATTTCTATAAGTGTTGCTGTTTGTTCATTTTATTGCTTCATCTGATCTTTTATTTCCTTGTGAACCGCAGAATGTAAGTATCTATTAACTAACATAGGTACTTTAACAGCATTTTCAGGATTGCTTTAGGAGTTTAGGTTAAGCCATAGATAGAAATATAACCTATTTTATGTTATGTTTTTTTCTTTCTATGGGTTAAGCTATGTAGGCAAGTACTAGTACACTACTTGTAGGTGCCCTACCAATTGGAATATAAGATTTCAGTACATGACATCTAACAGACAACTAAAAAAATCAATAAATAGTGCTGTGCATCACATGACAGTTGGTACGACCTCTCCTAAATACAGAAGGTTACCTTTGCAAAAATAGAATTAAGGTTGAAGTTCACTAAAATTCTAATAAACTTATAGTCGTGCCGTAACTTAAGGTCGTAGGTGATTCGTGAACGATAGCAGAGCATTCTCAACACCAAAATATTGATTGCAAACAGCAGTAGGTACAAGGTCGTTCAGAGGAGTTGCGCAATATTTGGGTACTTTTATCTAACATCTCCAATGTTCGTAGTCGTCATTCAAATGTAACATGAATTATTTAGTTTCCAAAAATTATGCAATGGAACAAATTGAAATCGTTTTGAATCAACACAGACCCCCGCTGGGCGCCAGGCAATTCAGCCCTATAATAAAAACGTAGAAATATTTTATTATGGATCGAATATTGGTCGATACATTTCGTAACTCGAAGTAAGTGCCTACATAAGTGTGCATATAAATAACAAGTATGGCACGGCGTAAGTGAGTCGTAAAAGTATTTCAAAATATAAAAATGCAAACAGCATAACGAAGACAACAGGTAGGTACGATAGGCAGTGACTGGCATAAGCTAACTATTAGAGACTTACCATTTAATAAATTGAATTACCAATACAAATTACCAAGTGCAATCTCGTCTAAATATGAATTTCCAAGTTTGAAACCTTTTGCCGAACAATCTAAGTAAGTACAAAACTTAAAAATTAATAAGTACTGAGGGTTATTAAAGCAAAAAATGAAAATAAATTAAAAATCGATTGCATCATACATATCGGTTTAATTTTACACGATAAATGGTATCCACCTAATTCTATTGTTTTTACGTACTATGAACATTTATTATCAATCGACAAACAATCAATTTGTTCAAGAACATAATATGAACAATGACATTCATAATTTTCTGTTGATAAAATGTAGTTAAGAAGTAAGTATATCGAATTGTTTCATCACCATGATTATCATCATAATGATACAGGTAAAATCTACTGGGACACGTTTTTACCTAGCTACGTGCATAAGTACCTACTGATAAAAAGAACCTACTACAATTTACGATAACAAGGTGTATTTGATCCGAATATTTTACAAAACGTGTAACGACTGACGACAGTAACTTATAAAGACAGCGATAGACGTCAATTTCTCCAAGGTTTCTTTCTAGTTTTAATACAACATGAGAGTAGATGGTTAGGCCCTGCTGGAATCGCAGATAAGTCGCCTAGTGGGTCGGTTCGGTACCCAAGCCCGGCACGGAGCAATAGTTGGCACGGGATGGATTTAGTCAGTAACACTGATACTCGATTTCGCCTCAACCAGGTTGGCAGGATGAGATTCCAACAAAAACAAACATCTCTCTATCTACCTTCCGAGGTTGATCTATTGAGAGGACCTGGCGCTGTCCTTTACAGGTGCGAATGGTGGTCATCGTGGACACTAGAAAGGTGATAGTGTGGTAAGAATTTCACACCTCCTGGCTCCTAGTCTTTCTCCCCAAAATGTCTTTGAAGGTTTTCTCCGTTATCAAGAAAAGGCAGGTACCATGTAGGTTTTTTAACACTCTTTGGAAATCCACAGACGCTATACATTCATGTAAAAGCCATTCAGCTAAATGTGAATTGATGCCGATGAGCGTGCCTTCACTTCACCCATAAAATCGATGCCGCATTGACAATGACATTGATACCAATGATGACAAAGAACTTCGTGATCCGGCTAATGCAAGGAAGCTCAAGTGGGGTCAAGTGGCGTAATGAAAGTATACTCTTAAAGGAAATAACGCTCTATGTTCACTTCTTCCTAAAGAAAGATTTAAACTTTTATTAGAACGAACGAAACGAAGTAATGAGTAAGAGGGCGTCTTACGTAAAATTACATAATGTTTCAAATGTTATGATTCCCCAGAAAGCACAAGGAAGGAAAGTATTTCCTCCAGTTAAGTTAAAGCAAATCGCGAGTAAGTAGATAGGTACCGAATCGCACATTGTGTCTACTTATTGTAACATCAATTAATAATAATAATCGATAATTACAATTAAAAACAGCAAATCACACATAACTTCACGCCTTTTATACGCGAAGGTGTAGATAGCGGTGCACTCGGCCACTTTTCACTATTTTATATTATGAGTCCTCTTGTAGTAGGGGGTGAGCCTATTGCTATATACAAGTCACATTTCCAGACTTCGTGCTACTATTGAATTTTTTTTAAAAACCCAGTAAAACTTTGGCTGTCCCAGGAATCGAACCCGAGACCCCTCGCCCGGCAGTCGCAATTGCGACCACTCGGTCAACGAGGCAATTAAAAATTTAACCATTCAAACCATTGAAACAGCAAATAATTCAACTCTTATTCTAATAAATGCTAGGCTATTCTTATTCTAGGCTCTAGAGTATTTACCTATATTCTAGGCTACAATATGCAACAAATTAAAATTAGGTACTTTTTAATTCCTTACTTTAACAAATATTTGCATTTAAACCCAGCAATGTCAGCTAGAGTAATCAAACAGTTAATCTAATACAAATTACATAAAAGCACTTCTACCAGAAGAACATTTCGGTTTCAATACGGGAGATAACAAATCAGAATCGTGCCGGGTCCACATTAGCACGCGGCACGTTCCGGCCCGCACGGCATCTGATAGTTAATACGCCAGCCGTAATGCGCTCCTTGGTACACTATTTCAAATGTTATTACAGTTGCCATGTTGTTCCTGCCGCGTAGACAGCTCATATCGTGCAGAGTAATCGCGAACCTCGCCCTACACCATCCGATATGGACCGCCCGATTCCTTGAAACGGGTATTGCGTGAGACGGAAACACTGATGCTAGTATAAACATTGTTTAAACCACGTTTGTATAATCTTGAATGCCAATTCCCAACAAAATCAAGGAAATGAAATACAATACGTCAAACATTAAGTGAACAAATTGTATAGCTCAATTTCATTGGCCATAATGTCTTTATGCAAACCCAACAGTTGTAAGCCGATTTGTACATAAATTAAGCGCCACTTAATATGACAATTTACGAGCGTAGCTAACACGGCTCCGTGTCTCGTGTCTGCAAAGCCGGTAGACCTAGCTGACCAGGGATCAATTATTTTACCCCTAGCAAAGACATCTTTATGTGTCTGCTCACAGAGTTTTAACGGTTCTTTATAATAAGCGTAGGACTCCGTAACTCGAGTGTCAATGAAGTATTAACGGTTTAGGAAAATGTGCTTAACAAATATCCATTCATTGGATTATAGCAGGTAGCAGGTTAGAAAACATTCCAAAATAAAACAAGTGCGATACAACATTATGTGCACCTACACGACCTTTCACCTAACAAGGAAGGACCCACAAATGGAAATGTTACGTTCCAATCAAGAAACCTAAATGATTTACAACTCTTATGCATTAGGTAGATGGTTACAATTCCAAGTGCTTGAGAGCTTATAACAATGAACAGTAATTTCTTCAACTGGTGCAATGCAAGCAATGCCGAAGTAAGTACTTGCAAGTAATAAATTAACTGCGACCATAATAAACTTGGGTGGTCTAACTACTAGGTACCTACATGGACGCATGGTCATTCATTTGAATTGGTAGCTATGATGAATCATAAAGTGAAATGAAGTTACCTACATAGGTATTTATCACAAATAGAGATAGGTACTTAGTACGCCAATAAGGACTTTAATAATTAAGCGCTGCCTATCTTCAAAAGCGTAAAACGGGTAAGCACAACTAAAAAAATTTTAACGTTATTTTATTTTTTTGCTACGTCATATGGTCCTACCATATTAAGTTCAAAAAGTGTAAAAAAATTAATGAACCTACATACCTAAAATTGATATTTTACGCACACAGTATCTTCTCAAACAATTATCTACGCTAAACACAGGAGGTAGGTACCTAAATAGGTACTTTTCTTATTTTCTTTTCCACTCTCAGTGCTGTTATTCTCCAGAATCGTATCTCATCCAAATGCGACCGCAAACCTATTTTCCTGTGAGTAGTATTACGAACTACCTACTTGTAATTTTGAGGCTTTGCAGTGATTGTATTTGTTGAACCCTTTACCCGTGTGTGTGATAGAAAAGGATGGAGATCATAATGCTAGCTATTACACTGCGTAAATTCCTAAAACAAAATCATTGCAATTTATCACGTTGTTTCAATTTTATATTCTGCGGTCCCGGTCGGAGGTCGTTGACGTCCATGAAGTGGAAACTGGAAAATAGACAATGTGAATAATGTACCTATGGAATGAGATGGAAAGCACCTACTCAACTTTTCAGTACTATCTGGATTTTGCCTGGATGTAGACTTTTTTAAACGAAGGTATAAGAATTATAAAGATCTTTTAGCTATCCAAAATAAATCATTTGTATTTCTTTAAATAATTTAATCATCTCAAAGTTGTGACTGATATTTGTCTTCCAAAGTTACAGGAGGCTGGACATTTTATTATGGACTTTGGTTCATATGGCTTCGGATCGTGCCCATAAAAAGGATGTTAGAATTTTTTACGACCTGGGTATTATCAACTGACTCCACATGGACAAATAAAGTGTACTTAAAGGTTTTATTGGAGCTACTTCTTTTACTGTAATAAAAAATATTATTATATTTTTAGTCGATTTTCCGCTTTTCTTAGTATCACTATTTATTCTGTCAATGCTGTCAACCCTCGGCTTTAAATGACAGATGATTACGAGTATTATTACGACATTGACATTTCAAAACAACCTCGAAAATATTTAATTTTTCTTGAGTTGATGAGATTTTCTGAAACTTATTAATAATGGGCAACTGGAAACTAGAGGTCGGTAGAATGGCCATGTACACATCTTTTCCTGTAGGTCTCTTTTTCTTCTTCAACCAACCGACCTATTTCGAGGAATGGGTTACAAACACGAAGCGACAAATCTTTCCACCGGAAAACATGAAAGACAGAGAAGCTATACAGCAACTCATTAAAGATATGAGAAAGAAACAAATGGAAGCATTGGAAAAGGAATAATTGTTGGATGTCGTAGTCAGAAAACGTAATACTAAGGTTGTAAATAAGGCGCAAGTGCAGTGTAGTGATTTTATATTCAATTGTGTTTGTTCAAATAGTCTTGTAACATACTGTGTGTTTACAGTACAATTACTCTAATGTTATCTTTGTCAATTTCAAGTGACTATTGAGATAACTTTACTTTCAGATAAAAGGATATAAAATTGATAGAAGTATGTGCGAACAAATATTTTATTAGTAATAAAATAACAAAACTTTTAACTTAATCTGTTTTTGTAAGTTTAATTTTTCTCATGTAACTTAATACAAGTCCCAATGTTGTTGAACAAAGTGAAGCATAAATTACATAAGATACTCCATAGTATTCTCCTATTACTCCCGACACCATGGGAGCAACTACACCTGTAAGAGACCTTACACTATTGGAAGCACCAATTAATGTTCCTCTATGGTCTCCATCACTTCTTTTCAATACCATTTCTAATGTTACTAATCTACCAATTGCATTACCTATAGCTAGAGGTATCAACCAGAAGGCATAGACAAGAACATTAAATGATAGAGCTAGTCCTAATAACGACAAACTTGTTACAAAAAACACATGCATGTTTCTTATACTGTAATCTTTATCATGCAGATAAAAACTATTAATATAACCAATGAAAAAACTGGATAATGAACCTATTACACCTTGGAAAGATATTACATAACCTATATATTTTGGTGATAATTCATATTCTGTTTTAAGAAATAGTGAATAATTTGAATAATAAACTCCCATAGCAAATCCTATTAGAGCTTTGAACATAAAAATGTCCCAATATTTAATCCAATCTATATGAAACAATTCAACTATGGATTGACGGACACTGGAATACAAAGTAACTAGTAAACTAGGTTGTGTTCCTCCCTTTGTTTTATTTGCTGCTTTCTTTTTAGGCATTTTACTGTCTATCTTTGGCAAGAAATACACCAATCCTGTAAAAAAGAAAATCAACTTTACTCTTAACATAAACAAACTACATTACAAATTCACACCTTATCTCATGAAGATTAGGGATTAACTTACTAGTAACTATGATTTTAGCATTATTTTAGCTTTTATCACATTCACCCTTTTCAACTACCTTCCCAAAAAGGTGGAGGTTATCAATTAGGCTGTATGTTTTTGTTTTAGGAATCTCTCAGGGGAGCATAATGGTTCCCTATATTCCTTAGTCCATTCTTGTAAGAAAAGACAATGCTATTTGTTCTTAATGTATATTAGTATCAACAGTTTCTCACCAGAATTAATGGCAAAGCATATCCCTACAATTACAGCAACCAACAAGAATCCACTCTCAGGGTGGTCTTCGGCTATGTGACCACCAATCACTGGGCCCAGGGTAATACCAGCTCCTGATATGGCTGCCATCTTCCCATATATTTCAGCTTGTCTCTGTTCATTCTTTTCATAATCAGGCACTAAAGCTTTTGTCAACATTTGCGTCTGTTTAAATAGTCCTGCAAAATAATAGTTTATTATTGCTTTCTTGGAATTTAACATTACAATTTGTAGTAGATGAACCCAAGTAAAAACCATAACCAAATGATAATGTTTTAAGAATAGACCAATTAAGTGGTAGTAACCTATTATCTGACTAGAAAACTAAATGAAATGACCATAAATGAAATAAGGTTTTTTAAGTCCTTTACAAAAATGTAAGGTTTTGACTGACTTACTGAAATGACTTTAAAAATGATTTTTTTTTCATGAATATTGCCACATCTACCTACTTTCCCTATTGCAGAATGATTTGAATAGGTAATGAGAAAACAAATTAATTTAACCTTCTATGTACCTAACACTGCTCTAATCACCATTATAACAAATATTGAACTAGTGAATCCCATCACAGTGTATGCAATTCCACATAAAAGCAGTGTCATTATCAAAATATTTTTCCGCCCCTTCAGGTCACTCAAACTGCCCTGAAAAATTATTTTTATTAATCATGTGTTGAAATCTTTACATCTGAAAATTATTGAGCAATGGTAAAAGATACTCACTATTAGGGGTCCAGAACCCAACTGGAATCCTGCATAAACAGATCCAAGTAACCCCACATAGACATGATTCCCGCCCATATCGCGAACATGTCCAGCTACTAAAGGTACAATAAGGCCAACAGCTAAAAGATCCTGGAAATGTAATACAATAGTATATATGTTTTTACAATAATACCAATGTTAATAAGTTACGAAAACAGATACCTACCAAAAACGCAACAGCTTGTATAAGGTAAATTGCAAAAGACATTTTTGATTCTATAAATGTAATACAAAATAATAGGCACTTTCCCATGAAATAATTAGTTATAATTTAATCAGAAACGTATTAACATAATCATATTTTAAATTACACTGACCAAGTGACCAAACCATTTACTATACCATATAAACAGTAAATGTCAATGAAGTGACAGTTAGTTAGTCACTGACAGTTCACAGTAGTGACAGTACCTACTGACGCAAACACTGACGCTACTTATGAAAGAAACCAAACGTAAATATCCTCGTCTCGTCCATTATAAACCAGACAACGAAAAATCTATTAAATGAATCAGTCAGTCGCTGTGTTTGAAAAAAACACAAGCTTTTGACAGCTTTCCCATCCTCTGTATTATTAGATTATACCAAAAGTTAAAAGGTTAATCCGATGTTGGGCTAGGTACCTATGTATAGGTATGGGTACTTGGTTTAATAGTACCAGTGGAATATACACAACATTACATTTTAAAAATATATTTTTGATATATATATATATATTCTTGAATAATACTTACATTATGTTAATGCAAAATCCAACAGTCAATTCTTTATGTATAGTTTTTTTTAAAGGGGGAAAATCATCGAATGACTTCTCCCACCTGGGTGAAGGATTGTTCGACTCTTACTGACTAAAAACCACCCAGTCCCTACGTCTGCACTTCGAGCCTCGGTAACCCGTTAAGTACTCCGCGGCTTCGTATCGCCATTAGTTCTATTGGGCCCCATCTGTGGTGGTCTGATGGCTCTTTGAGGCGCTTGCCTCGCTGCCTCATGCGCCTCGCCTCCTCCTTAGCTAGCATGACTGCTTCGCAAAAGGAGGAGACGGCATCCTAATCCTCCTCGCTCCGCATCATGAAGTTTTGTTGGATAGGGCGTAAAATTTTAAGGCATACATTGTACCTTTTATTAGGTATAAAATAAATAATAAATGATGATAATATTATGTAGAATACAATATGTTTTAATGTTGTTTTTATTAATAATGTTTTTTCTCCTTATTAGCAAAAGAATACATCTGATAACTAAACTAAATTGACACATGACATCCTTGACGTGAATGCCTATAATGACAAATGACAATGACAGTTTAAAAATTTTAAAATATTTATTTTTATTTTGCTCGTCGAGGTTATACATTTTTAAATACGTAAATTCCATTTGAGTGTTTATTATAAACAAGAAATAGTAGAAAAATTTACACAATGAACAGTACGCGATCATTAGTAAGAACTTTATCTTAAATACATTCATTATTAATATATTTTTATTTGTACTTGCATCACATAGAGTATCATAATTAATTTACATGTATTGATTAATTTGAACACAAATACTGTATTTTCAGGTGTTACAGACTTTCAAAAAGTTACACAAAACAAGAATGAAAGTTTTTGCAGGAGATGAAAGAGCACTGGTAGCTGGAAGACTTAAAATTAATGAAGAGTTTCAAAAAAACAAACATGTTACCAATGAAGAAGCAATAAAGGCTGTATGTATTTTTTGTTTTGATCTACATTGTTTTGCTGGCATAGAATTAACTTATATTCAAACATTACAGATGATCAAACTTGGTGAAGATGTAGAGAAAGAGCTACGGACACAAGTTATTCAAGCTCGGGAAGTCAAACCTGGAGTATTTGGTATGTTATGAAATTGAGCATTCTAATACTAAAATAGCAAATATGATTTATTTTATTTTTTATAACATTTGAGAATATATAGTTTTTTAATTAGTCCACTACATTAATGTAGTTTCATGCCTTATTCTTATTTATTGTTTTTCAGAGGCAAGGATCACCGATGATACAGTGAAGTTAGAAAATATACCGTTTAATGACAATGCAGTATTAGATGATGGGACAACTGTAAACAGGCCATGTTGTCAAGACAAAGCTCAAAATAAATAGTTATAATTATTATCCAGCCATTTTTGAGGAAAATACTAATAATGTATTGAGCAAAATGTATCTAAATTAAGCATTACTTGCTTAGTTATTTTTGTTATTTAGTTTTTAGTTTTACTTTTAGGTTATAAATGAAATTATGTAGCATAATAGGTTTGAATACAAATCATTCAATTTGAAACTAGACAAACTAATGCTTTTATTTTAACAGAAAATTGTAATTGTGCAGTTTACTTGTTAATAAACATAACATCATGATGCATAATGTGCACCTCTGCCTACCCCTTCGGGGTTAGAAAGAGGTGCACATTATGCCACTGTGCAATATAACACCCACTTTTCATTATTTATGTTATGAGTCCCATGTAATAGGGGGTGAGCCTATTGCCTATATACCAGGCACAATTTCAGACTCCGTGCTAGTACTGAGAATTTTTTAAAAACCCAGTAATACTTTGCCCGACCCGGGAATCGAACCCGAGACCCCTTGCCCGACAGTCGCACTTACGACCACTCGGCCAGCGAGGCAGTTTTGTCAATAAATAATACGACTGCTGTACGTTTTATATTTCATTTTGACTGTTTATTATGAAGCAAACAAACAGACAAATCATCTGTTGGTAAGCGATTAGCACAACCCATTTATTGTTCACCTAAAGTGATTAGAACAATCACACCTTTGGATTTGTCACAGCCACAGAAAAACACTTCTCAAGTCGTACATTTTTAGATATTAATACTGATGAAACATTGATGAACATTGTTTAGATTAGACAATCGACTAAAAAATTTCGTATTAGTTTTTCTTTTTCCGAACGATTTTGTAATGTCACTTCAGTGATTGTCAGATGTCAATATTTGACATTGACAGGTCTGGGTTACTATCAGACAGATTTGCGCAGTGTATTCTTTATTTCTTTGGATTTTTACCAAAAAATCCTTACATAAATAGTAAAATGTTGACTAGAACATTAGCCTCACGGGCTGTTCTGCTAAAAGCCTTTAAAAATGCTGCAGATAACGTGAAACAAGCTAAAAGAAACTCAGGCCATGGGTAAGTTGGTTGTTATGTCATTCATTGAGATTTGACTTGACTGACAAAAATAATATCTGGAATTACGTACCATCTAATTTGAGTAACCCTAACATTAAATCATATAAATGCGAAAGTATTCATTGTGTTACATTACAGCTGGTGGATCTTATTGATGTTTAAAGCTCTCAATCTTTGCATTTCATAAAAAAAAATATGAGTTTCTATTGAAAGTTAACCTTTTATTTTCAGTACATGGTCATACCGAGTACCACCACCCATGCCGTCTAGGAAATCTGTCTTATTAGCTGAGGGTCTTGGAGCAGTGGCCTGGTGGTGGATCTTTTGGCATCTCATTACGGAACCAGACCATGTCTTTGTGAGTATCATTAAATTCAAGTAATATATAGGAATAATAATGTAGTGTAATGTTTAATATGATTATAAGATAAACCTAAACAACATTTTTGTGATCTATAGCTTATTGAGACTGGTGCCCAGTAACAAGGCAGAGTTGAATTAATATTATCATAAGATTTAACACGTGACTGTGAAGGCTAGTGGAAAATATTTTAGATCTATTTTATGATTATTAGGAATTTTGTTACAGAATCAAATTTTTAGTCCTATAGAACTTGTTCAAGCATCCATTTGTGAACAAGCAATTTTAATAAAGTTATGTAGCACATTGTAATCAATTACTTGTTAGGTTTTAATGATGGTATAAGTACCGAGTATCGTCCAAACTTTACAGGCACACAAATTTCTTAAATTATTAGCTTCAAGTTTATGGCTGATAGGTCTTTAAACTCGCTTATAAAAAATTTATGTATTTGTTAATTTTAATACTGCATTTTTATTATAATTTGTAATTGTTTTTTCAGGGTGAATTTCCATATGTTGATCCCGGATCCTACACCGATGAGGAACTTGGCATACCACCTGACTCCGAAGGCTCATTGAGGAAGTGAACATGAATATAAATAATTTGTAGTACTTTTTTCTGTTGATGTTAATTAAATTATGTAAAATAATCTATAGGCTTATTTGTTTGTTGTTTCCTTTAATGAACAATATTTTATATGATAGGATGTATCGGGTCACTTTGTCAAATGAAATGGAATAAATATTAAACTTGGTAACTACTTTTGTTCTTTTATAATATGGTAGTTCTTTGAACTGAATTTGGAAAGTTTATTGTATCAAACAACTCATTAAAATTACCATCTATGATTCATTGCCACTGCAAGTAACTAAACTAATTAACACATTAATGTGGCATTCACTGTTCTGAAGTTCCTGTTATTGGATGTTTTCAACAAACTGTTTCATATTTAGTTGGTATCAGTAGTTTTAAAATATAAGCCCTTTATTATGCTAAGTACACTTGCTTCCACTATTGTCATAAAATAAGTGAAGCAACCCAAAATTCTATAACCATCAGACCATCATTTCATAACATTTCGCCTTTTATATCTCGAAGGAGCTAGTAGAGTTGCGTAATTATATTAAATGTTGCTTAACTTATTAGTTCTCCAAAATATGTACCTAAACGAGGACGCGACTTACCATATTCCCAGCACGTTATCTGACGACTTAGAATTTTCTAAAACCGAATAAATAATCTTACCAGAATTAAGGATCGTATCTGAGAGCAGAAGTAGTAAGCAAATAATTTACAATATAATTAAACAAATAGAAACGTTAATATTGTTAAAAATGAAATTCTAGAAAATATTATACTTCGCGGTAGGTATGCTTTTACCTTTATTATTCTGTCATCCTTAAGTCAAAAGACTAATACTCCAAAACAGCAAACCACGGCACAACTTTTAAAAACTATTTTGACATATATCAAAAACAGTGAAAATAATTTCGCCTGCACGTTTGTTTGTCCTAATTTTATAAATTATCACTTACAATTTGTTGGGATTCAAATAAAAGATGAGTAGTAGTTCATTTTATTAATGGTGTTGAAGTGATAATGTGATGTGTTTATAGAATTCGAAATGGAGACAAATGCTAATCAGAAGGGTGAGTACATTGCCACTCGGAAAGGTCTACTCTTGTTTGTGTATGAATAACTGTATCTTGCAAATCTTGCGACATTTATTTGGCTGACGTAGGTGCCCTAAACGCATATTTTTGATGCGTCCTCAATTATTTGCATGCATAACTTGTATACTTCTTATAGATTCGAGTTCCGTTTCGAGCGTCATAGACGGAAAATGAGCTTATCATGTTTTTGATGACTTTCTTATCGCTTGAAATTCGGCGTGAAGACAGATTGAAATATTCAAATCTCCAAGAATTATTGATAAATACAACTGTTGCTCTTCTTATAGAGTGTTCATGAGCTTGGTTTAGTATGAGTCATTTTGTTGGCATTGTGATGTCGTGTGCATGTTAAATACTAATAAGCCCGACGTGCCTGCACCTTTGGACGACAACATGTTGGGTTAGACATTGTTATTATTATTAAAATAGTGTAAATAATAACTTTTATGTAACCCCTTGTCTTGACTATACACTATCGTAGGTTATGTTGTTATATTGTTGGAAATAAAATATATTTTCTTATAAGATTCTTTGAAATATTTCTTACTGGACTCTTTTAGTTTTTATTGTGATCACTGATATTTTGGGTGTGTCTCCAAGTAGTTAATCATTTATCTACTACATGTATTATAAAGTTTTAATTTGTATCATTTCTTTTGCCACTTGTGATTGTACTTATCTTTTATCTTGTTTGTACAATGCATGGGCAGCTAAAGATAACTGTAAGTTTTAAAACGTGAAATAATTTATTTATGGCAATAAAAATCATTATAATGCCTCCTTATTGAATTTTAGTTACTGTTTAGTCTTACAAAGCAAAGGTTCAATTCAAAGAGGATTAATTCATTATTTCCAAATACTTGTTATCCTGTTAATTTTGTTTGTAATACAATATATATCCTTATCCATTTATTTCCTCTTTATCACTTCAATCAATTTTCCTTAAAGGCATCCGAAACTCACAAAATTGTCAGAAAACTAATGTTACTATTGCAATTAAATATACAACCTTAATATTACACATTAAAAATAAAAATTTGTAAACAAATTAATGACGAAGGCTTAGTGACGAAGAAGAAATTAATATTAGCTAAATAATTTCGTCTTAAAATGATTCAAATTGTCTAACTAATACATAAGTGTATACAATGAATCATAATACTATCTCTAGTTTGTATGTCAGTTTCTACCATTCATAAAATCTAAGGAAAAGGACTGAGTAAGCTATTAAATGATTGCTAAAATACAATCATTTTTGTTATGAAAAAATGTTATTCATTTTATTTCTGTAAATTCTTTTTATACATAATTTTTTTTAAATTAACCTTCATGGTGCTTTTAAAACTTAAATAACTTGAAAGGCATCTACATAATTTATTTGTTTTCGTTCTAAGTACTCAAAAAAAGTATGCAATATTCAGATTATTATTTCAATACTTATAACTGTTTACAAAAACTACACATGATTGAATTAGAATGTGATGTACTTTCGATATTATTGGTATCATATTATATCAATGCAGTTATTACAATTTGAGGACAATTTAAAATCAATGAATACATGATAATTTTTGTAATCATATTTATGCTGTTGTAACTCTCCTATGCATTAATAATATTATGTTATTGATAGTTATGGGATTTATTGCCGTTTTCACCAATAACTCCCAGTCCTTCTCTTAACTCATAGAGTACATTCATTATAGACACAATTAAAAAACAATAGGTTGTGGTCACCGGTGTTCTCGTGGTGTTTGACAGTTTAATATTGAGAGGGAGCACAAAAACTAGGTGTTACTCGTAGTATAGCATAGTACTAACATTTTGGTTGACCTATAGGTATAAGGTAAAAGAGGGTTAGTTTTTATGCCTGTTTCACACACATAGGTGTGGACCATGTTGGATCATGTTGGTGAAAATGAGTCTTTTACCAACATTCTTGTTTTGGACTGAATTTTATTATCTTCCAACAATTATTAAAAAGAGGTATCCTGAAACATGACATAAAATGTCATGCTTTAGTCTCTTGTTGGTACCTTATGTTATATGCAAAATCTATAGACTATTTTTATATTAGGGAATCTGGAGAATCAACAGAAATACATTAGAATTAATATCAGTAAAGATCATACATACTTTCTTTAGCTTCTAACATCATGCACCTGGCCACAAGTATAAGGAAAAAGCCATTCTCAAACGACATCAAGTAAACCTCATTATATATTCAAGGTAGGGTTTAACAATTAATTTGTTTGTTTTGTCGCAGTGTCATGCGTGGTGAACTTCGCGTATGACGCGTCAGAGCCTGATGAGCTGACAGTAAGGCCTGGTGACGTTATCCGCGATGTCGAGCGGTTACCAGGTGGTTGGTGGAGAGGAGAGCTGAGAGGTCGCCGCGGAATGTTCCCTGATAACTTTGTGTCAATCCTCGAACATGCTAACGTAAGGTAAGCATTATAGCGACAACCCCATGATGTGGTAAAATGGCATATACCTAAATGGTTCAGTAAAATAGAAATCAACTAAGTCATTGTACGGGAGTTACAATGGCATACTGCATAGGTACACAAATCATCGACAAACGTTAAAATACCGCCTTGAAGCAGTATAGAAAAGGACGTCATAAAACTATTTAGCTTACCTAAAACCATCTGAACCAGAAATTTCACGTTTGGCATACATCTGATAAACTAGGGTCACCGTTAACTATTAAAAAAAAAGTAGTTCAAATTTTTCTACTGTTTACATAAAATGTAACAGAGTTAGTATATCGCGTGTTGTCAGACAATCGGTAGCTATATTATGTTACACGATAAAATGGTTTCGCGTTCCACCATCATAATATAATATCGAATACGCAAATAACTTGTTTTTTTTTTTATCGAAAACAGTAGCTATTTGATTGATAGGTTTTAGCTGTAGAATATTGAGATATTTGATGTTATAGTCATTTATAGTTAAATACGATTAAAATCAGCGTTGAATGGATTTAATTTTATAAATACCTATCATTATTTAAATATTAGATTAGCTGCTAGTTTAGAAGCCCCAAGTGTTAAATAAATCCGTCGAAAAGCAATATTCTTTACGATTTTGATCCTAGTAGGCTATTTATTATAGCGCTTTTGAATCTCGTTAAAAATACAATTGATGAACTAATCGAAAGAAAATATCAGTCGTATAGGTTACCGGGGCTCCAGCTTGAAATGCAGGAGTAGGAACAGGGTGGTCTTTAGTCAGTAAGAGTACACTCTCTCCCGCCACACCCAGGCGAGAAAAGTCATTCTATGATTTCTCCCCCTTAAAAAAAGTCTTATAGTCCAATTATAATACAATACAACCGATTAAAAAAGGATTAAAGACAAATAAAGATGGACTATTTCCCCACGTATTGTGCCAACTAGAGCAAACAAACACAATGTGCATGTCAAAGTTCAATAGCAACTGTAAAGATTGATGCTAAGGTCACCAGTGTACAGTTAGCTTATTTCGAGTCGGTCCGGTATCCTGCACCGTCTAAGCGCATAGTTCATAAGAAACTGGTTTGTAAGCCAATATAAAATTACCATGTGTGGCTGATGTCTAGTTCACTGACACAAATACATATTTGTATTATTTTAATTGTTATATGGGCTTGTTTCGATTTTATTGTTAAACTATGATTATTACGTAGATTTGGGTATATGTTGACGATTTTGTTGCCCCTCGGCGTGATTTCATTCGTTTTCTGTTCTATTAATACTCGAACTCTGGCTTGCATGTTTTTAGTGAAAAATTTCCCACAATAATATTCTGTTAAAGGTATAAAATAGCTTTAGCGTGACTTTATTGGGATATTTTTTTAGTAATATATTAAACTACACATTTCTAAAAAAATCTAGATAGGTAACACTTAAATCTTGTCACCTGTTGTCTCGTTTATCGAACTATAGATCTCGAAGTCTTCAACTATTCTGATCAAATGGGACCATTAAGCCGAATGGTGCTTTATGGTACTGAAAATAAAAAAAAAACCTAGAATTTTCTTTTTTAACGACATGTTTCCATACATTTTGTTCGTCGGTAATTATACACCGTTGAACGGTAG